TTTATTGTTACTATTTTATGTGGGGGCTTTCTGAACGAGAAATCAAGGTGGTAGGCAAATCCATTACAATTTTATATGCCGTTCAAAGCATAGTAGTCTCACAATTAAAAATCTTCTTTTTTCAGACACGCTATGACAACGCACAATATGCTTGAACGCTGTAAATTTATGTCGATTTGTTTAATATTTTGGCAAAAACTACACTATTTGCATGTTGAAAAAAGGTGAGGGTAATTGGCGTGATTTCTAAAATAATGGCAATTTTTTAATCAAAGATTATTATTCAGAAATAAGTAAGTTTGGATTTGTCGACATTTCCCAAGTGTTGAGAAAACAAGTTCTGGCATCAGCATTGTATAATTTTTTATGCTGTACATGTTACATGTGTAATGATGCCATACATAACCTATAGGTATATCAATAAAAAACTATTCAATTTATTAAATGCATTCATTATTCCATGACCCGCTATATTATCCAAAGATTTGTTTTATCAGAAATTTTGTTTACACTCATAATAAAACGTATTATTTTCTTTCATTGTATAACAATTTGGAGCATTTGCACTGTACAAAATCAAACTCAATGATAAAGTTGACGTGTTAGTTTTAAGCTACAGAATCAAAGATTAGGGTGGTATGCCGCGGCGTCAACACAAATTACTGCTATCTGTGAGAACATTGGATTGTTTGTTGTACCTCGATTATTTGACAAACAATACTTTTTGTTGTAAATATGCAGTTTGCCAGATACTGCATTTTGAACGATATTACCAAAGCCTTTTCTAGTATTGAGTAACTTACTGTTGGAGAAATGATACCATCTCTTCATCCGATAAGCCGCGTATTGAACATTACACAGGGTTTTCTTTTATGTACTTTTGTGAAAGTCTTTTCCGTAATTGGTCGAGTTATTTGCTACCAGATAATGAATTGGACATCTTGTTAGCAGAAAAACGGCGATGGTACGTCATCGTTTCTCGAATCTAGAATTAAAGATTGTTTGGTAGCACTTATTTTTAAATAATTTTAGTGAAAGAGGCAAATCTTTACTATTTGTTAGGATTGTAGAAAATTCTTTTTATCTTACTATTTATCGAAATTTATAATAAAATTTATATGATGAGCAATGTCGAACGAATCGATCTAAGAATGCTAAGACAACTATATTACAGTTCTTTAGAATTATACCTGTATTTTTAATATAAAAAAAGTACGAGGCAAAAAAATTGTTAGGCAATTTTATCCTAAAATGACACCATTTTATCGAATTTGATTATGTATATAAATTTAGACATTTTTCACGAGAATATATCGATGCTCATTACGTAACTATTACTTTGAAATGTTTTCCATACTAATTGACATAATAATTCTTGCATGAATGTGTTAAAAGCAATGTATTCACTCACAAGTATTAGCTATCGTTGACATCCATTTGTGATGGCAGTCTCGGCCGTGATACGACGCCTAGAGAATTAATTTATTTGTATCACTCAAAGCATATCCGTACATATCAGTTAGGAAAAGTGCCGTATACGTGTCATGAATAACAATGTTGCCATAGCAACTTTTAGTTAGAATGGTAAAGCTCCAATCATAAATGTTTATTACTAGCGACACTCAATTACAATAACGTTAACTTTTGTCTTTGGTTTGCTGACTAAAATATTAATATAATTGAAATTAAACAAACTAATATAGAACGCCTGATATTTACTTACTTTATCAATAATTAGATTATCTAAATTTTAACTAAACATTTTTGAACGCAAACACATTAGCTATTCAAAACTGAACTTATAACAAAATAAGTTTAGTGAGATCTGCCGATTTTCTGTGGTCATCTGGGGGCGTTCCTTTTCGGATTTAGGATAAACACATTTGTGTATCATTCGGGGGTTATTAGATTGAAATATACAATCTTGATTGTTTATTGCCAATCTATGTAAGCTCGATTACAATGTGTAAGTCACGACCGTAGGAATTATGCAAAACTTAAGGCCTCTGTCGGTATAATCATAATTGCGTACACAGTCATATATTATACAAGTGTATGCATGCAATAGATATTACCAAAGCGTTTAAGCGCCTAATAACCTGTTAAATTATGTAAACGTTGGAAGTAGATTGTTGACTTTCTCGACCACGAAATCGTTTAAAAATGGGCCTAATTTGCATCATTTACTCAACGACTAGTAATCTACAAGAAAAGACTTGGTTAGTTAACAGTAAGTTTGTGTGTAGATGTCCACTTAATTAAACAAATTAAAGACATAACCACTAATTTTATTCAAACCTAATTCCGCATTTTAGGTATAAAAGTAACAGTGAATTGGCGGGGAAGACCAAATGTCGTGCGATGTGTGGAGTTTTAAAATGCCACTTTTAATTTTGTGTTCAGATTAATGCATGACGATAATATTTTGTCTTGCATGAATGAGTAACGTCATACAGTAAACCGACAATGCTCATGTTTTGGCTTTATCATGCTCATTCATGCATTCTGTAAAACTTTTTCGTATTTGCAGCAATAATCTTAGTTTACGCTAGAAATTAAAACCATTCAGCTCTGTATCTAATATAGGACACCAGCGTTTAAAAATTTCAAGAGAACAAAGATGCGGTAATAGTAGCTTACGGCCTCTCATAGTAAAATGATAACAAATTACATTTTCTTATAAAATAGAGCTGTATGTTATGTAAACGTGTTAAATTTTATGGATTTATAAACATTTTCTTTTATTGGATCTGGAAAAAAAAACTGACACATCATGCAATTTGAGTTCTGCGACCGGTTGCGTTGAACAAAAGTGAGTTTAAATTGCCCAGCACATATTTAATAATCGATTTCCTACACTAGATCTTTCTTTGTATGACATAAGGTCATTACACTCTTATGTAACGCAATGTAGCACGTACGATATATTGCTGCAATTTGCAGAACCCAAAATTGGATAGTCGTTATTTATCGTTATTACCCAATCTCGTAACTATGCCTGAATCGTATAGAGACCCGTCTAGTTTGTTTGTTAAATAAATTGTTTTATTTACTATATAACCTAATATAATATCAACAAATGTAACAATCTAATAATTAATTTGTGTCAATGCATTCCTTGACTGTCGGTTAAAGCATAAAATATATCCGATAAACTTGAGAAATATCTCAACAGATTATAAGTCCAACTACATAAATTTGGCACATTACTTTGTTTGTTACGCACACAGAACGATAATCCAATGACTACAATTATTTAGTTTGTCATTACTCTTCAATTTAATTCATTCTATACAGACTTTTCTTTTCCCTGTGTCCGTGTGTGTGGGGTTTTAATTTTTCATTGGTTTGTATGATCAATTACTTGTTTGAATGTTATCATTATTCGCCCTTGAGTACCAAACCGATTTGGAGTCATAGTACCATACAAGTGTCAAAAAGCAATGTTACTTGCGATCCGAAATCTTTGTCCATATTAATATTGTTTGCTATCACCTCTCCTTTCGAATCCGAACAATTACGTTATTTATAATATTAAATGATGCGAGAGACACATACGCCAAGAATATTAAATTACATTAATTATAATCCAAAAATTTTGTCTCTGCTACGTTACAAGCATAGTGCAGAGACAATTGCGCAATGCAAGTACGCACGGTGTCCGTATTATACCAATGATTGTCGTTGAAAGAGAAGTTACCACTCAATTATCAAACTGTTCGATTATCCAAAAAACGTTTTCATTAATTACGATTCGTCCTTGTTTGATGGACAAACGCTCAATGTAAAAGATACTTTATCATTATGCGTTTGCGATATTAGCATACCATATTCAGTCCAGCCCCGCTCAAATGTACAAATAAGGCAATAACGGAACGGATAAACATGTTACTAACTGATCGACTAGTTATGATTATACACTAACTATATGCCGATTTCTAACTGCACTAGCAGCCGTGCTATTTGTCTAAAACTCTTTCGTAGAACGTTCGATTCGATTGATGTAGGTCTTTACATTCATCATCGCGGCATCCATGCTGTTATCGGTTTAGTGATATTCTATCGCAATGCAGGAAATATTATTGTGTACTTGAGAAACTGGTTAAAAGTTTCATTATACTTGGCCGTTGGTTATACGATTGTCTCTGTTTTTATTATTCGATCTTTTGCTTATATTTGTGCTTTAATAGAACATTCTCTTATTAAACACAAATTGTCGTTTTCGACAATTTGTGTACCACCTTGATATTAAACCGTGCACTCTAATAACATTTGCGATTATCATTTCTATTTAAGTAACCATTACAGGTCGATAAATTCTGTTTAAACTTGGCCCCTCATTAAATCCGTGTCTTTATCCATTTACAAAGTACCTGCCTTGACAGGAACTTACAATATCTTGTAACACATTAATTAAACAATCGATAAGTAAATTGTGTAATACGGGATGATATAAATACTGCCCGCGTCGGAGTAAAAGAATTTTGGTTGTCGAAAGTTAGAGACTTTCTAAGAAAGAAATTTATTGAGATAACGAGTATTATCTCCCTCACCCTCATTACTCCTCCATCCTTCCTCTCCTCTACTCTCATTTTTTTTTTCATTCCAGGACGGACGAATTTACTTTTTATAATCATTTAATCATCGACTTCTTCACATTACTCAACCACCCGCTCTCTCTCTCTCTCTTCACTCGAATTTTATCGCATTCAAAACAACCCAAATTACTTAACAGCGATTACCGAAAATTATAATCTCGCTATTTCAATTTTCTTTCTAGTCTCTCATTTTTACTGGATAACAATCGAGCCATCATAATCTCTTTTTTTCTTCTTTGAACAACTGTTAACACACCAACAATACCATCAATACAAACGTTAAACCAAACGCATTGAACAACATGTCCAAGCTTATTTTAATCCTCCTAGTATTCACTCTCTTCTTCACGCAAACACTCTCTCGTCCTACTCGTCCCAAAAGTGTAGTTACCATGTACTGGGTTACATCTGAAAATGATTTTAAACCATCTGGTAAAACAACCATTCGCACCTGCCAAGGAAAATCACTCGCTACGGTAAAATCCAACTTTGCAGAAGCTTTGAGGATCGAAGGTACTGGAATAACGAGCAGTGGGAAAATGTTCAATCTCGGTGATTGTGACTGCGGTGACGGGTTCAGCTGCTTTACAGAAGTAGACACGCAACTCTTTCCATTCGGGATATCTTCAAACGATGAAGCGCTCGACCCGTTTGCAAGCGCTGCTGCGAATGATTTTCCAATTGGAACCAAACTCTTTGTTCCTGCGTTTAAGGGATTAAAATTACCAAACGGTTTGATTCATAATGGATGTGTGAAGGTGGCTGATCGCGGATACGGATTTGGTGCAAATCACATCGACTGGTTTGTTTCGACAGAAGCTAACTATAATCAAATCGCCAACAATGTCCCCGAAACTACTATCGTGAAGAAAGCTGATTGCGAGTTGTTGAAATATACGGACACGGCCTAAGTGTCAATGCATGAATTTAACGTATGTGCAAACTTTATGATGACTGGATTCATTGAATATAATGATTTTGGCTTTTGGATAAAGCTTTATTCGATGTTATGACGGACAGATATTTCATTGATTGAAAAGTGATATTGATGGACGAATGTATATTTGTTATGATAATGACACAATTGCATCCTCTTTAAATGTTCGTCAAAATAATGTTTTTGTACATACCACATCACCACTTTTTTTACAAGTGTGGTTTTTTTGTCATTAGACGTAAATTTTGTACTGTTTTATCGAATTAGATATTCAGGTTTAATATTTTTGTAGTTATAGCTGTCGCTATTTGGGACGATTGGTATAACAGATAAATGTCAGTAAACTTGAAGTTTACGTAAAGCCTTAAATAAACAGTACCGGAAATCGAAAGAACTAAATTTACTTGTCATTTTTTGATGCATTAAAAACTTGATCATAAATACCCGAGTTGGTTATTAGTGTAGCGATATAAATATCATATGTCGCACTTTGATTTTATTGGAGGACACATTGGAGGACACCTTGGAGTGGCACATCACATTAACAAACGCAATAAACGTTGTGGGTGAAAATTTTTTATTCAAAATCATGTTGATTCAATCTTTAGCAAGGAAGTACAAACTTAACCGGATCTCTGGCTCGGACATTACTGGCATAGAACCAACTCAAATTGACAACGTCTACTACGCCACTCGCAAACGAAATGTTGATGAGACGATAATGCTAGTATTACTTGGAAGTAGTGAAGAATGCACACCAACACTTGTGAGTGAGTTTGCCAGAATATACTCACTTCCAACACACATGTACAATAACAACGACAATAACTTTAGACGATACTCCGTATGGCTTACTGAACGCAACAAACTCATAAAGGGGTTTACCAACTACAATAACAACTATTACATGGTTGCTGATAAACGCTTTTACCATTGTTATTCTCGATATGGCTTCTGCTCCACATGTGGAATACT